AATTTTTTTCCCCAAGAAAAAATAAATTAATTAATAAAAAAAAGAAAAAAAGAAAACAAAAACACTGGTGGGGGTGGGGGGAGCGCAACACCAGGGAAACCTGAGATGGGCTGGTGGGGACCATTATGATGCTTGGACCAAACCAAGAGATGCAAAAGCCTAAGAAGCTACAGTGGCGTTGCAGTAAAGACCAGAGGGCCTGAAGAGGCCACACCCTTTCATCCCAGATCAGCCCTTTCCTAAAGCACTGCATTGCTACTCTGGAGAAGAGCTTGAGGATTTACCTGGAGGCGGTTTCATTTTCGGCACCAATGTAAGCGCTAAGATTGGATCAGAGCTACTCAGTTCCTATTCTGTCCTTTGAAGATGGGGCAGGTCAAGGTCAGAATTAACAGAGAAAGAGAATCTCAGAGCATCTTGTTAATAAAGTGCAGACTTATGAGACTTTAACAAAATATGTGCATTTTAAAGTAGTTTCTTTTCTGATTTCTTTCGCTCCTTGAGGCTCTTCCCCCAAGAAATGTGAGCTTCATCCTGGTTGACAGGGCATTTGCCCTGCCATGTTTGCCCCCCTCCCACCCCCGCCTGCCCTTGGAGAATAGTCATTTATTCATTATGTAATGTTTCTATGAAAGACAATGAAAAATCCCCACAAATATCCCTCTCTTTCCTCCTCTCTGGAGAAATGATTATGAATCGGTCGCAGGGGAAACCCACGGGAAAAGTTGGATTACAATATTTCTGCTAAATTTACACCGAAACAAAAGTGCCAAGTACGTGTTCGGAGCACATTTGAAAAGAAAGACCAAGATCGTGCCTGGCTGTGCTGAGAGATCCAAGTTCCTTTTTCATCCTTGTTGGCCTGTGTGGAGGCAATGATCTCCTAATTGACTTTTACGTGTATCTCAGGGTTTTAGAAATTAGTGAAGACTCACTTTCATAAAAACATTCCTGATGCATTTTGGTTCATTATCAGTGACTAATGTGAGTCCACCTAGATGATGCCTCGTTTTTAAATGCACTTAAAAGCTGGCCTCAGCATTTCCTTCTTTCAAAACAGGAAAAGGACTTTTCCAATTTTCAAACTAATTTGGAAAAGGCTTGAGTCAATATGAACTTTCCCTCTCCAAGATTATGATTCTAGAAATCTAAACCTTTTCTTTTTTCCTGTCCCTTTAAAAAAATGTTTGAAATCCTCTTTGCTTTCTGTATTATTTTTTTTTTTTGACTCTTATGTCTACTTGTGTTTGCCAGCCGTTTTCTATCAGGCTGAACACCCCTCTAAGGTTGCCACCAGCATGGCTTCAGGTATCTAGACCCCACAAGTAAACACGACTTATCATACAGCTAGAAATCATGAACTAAGAACAGACTGAAAATTCATCTGAGGGCAGTGATTAAAAGTCACAAAAAACCCGAAGCCAAACTTGGCCTGCTCCTGCAGAGCCTGGTGAGAGCTGCCCCGTCCTTTCCCTACACCTCTTGGTTCTGATCACTGAGCCTGGAAATGACCTAATTCAGAGAGCAGAAGAAGGCACAAAAGGCAGTTCTTCTTTTCACCATGTCTGGGGAGCTGAAAGGGAGCAGATGCATTGTCCTTCCGTGCCCAGAGAAAAGTTATGGGACATTTCAAAGTTTGTCTTTTGCACATTGAGAACCGAATCTAGGGCTTTACCCGCACCAATGTGCCGGGTCATGCCAGCCCTCCACCCTGGGAGACACAGTACAGACACACAAGCAAAGCTCACTTACAACTCCGAGAGAGCTACACGCAAGGGCTAAAAACTTGAGCCACTCGATCTCCTCCGTGAAGCGACCCACGTTCATCACACTGTTAAACAGATCTGTTGGGAGATTCAGCACCTTCCACATCTGGGCCAGCTCGTCTGCGTGGATGATCAGTCGGCCAGCAACCTTCAGGACAGAGGACACACAAGAGACACGTGAGAGCCTCAAACAAGATGCCCTGAGTTCTCCCAGCACTAGGAGGGGGGTGGGGAGCTGGAGAGGCCAGAGGATCCCACTGGACAGTTGTCTTTGCGAGGCTATGACACAGTTTTAATATTTTTAAATTCCAGACATCAGAATTATGGTCAAGAGATCCATTTATAGTACATTCCATTTGTAAATGATGCCTTTATGTCTCTAGTTTTATTCTTAGGTTGCCCGTGTAAGAAAGATAGGTCGACAGAGGCTTGCCTGAGACCTTTAATGAATCAGGAATGACATTGTCTCTCCCAGACTATACAGGGTTCTCTGCACTGAGTCCCTGTATATATATGTATCCCTCCTGTCTCTGAAAGAGTGTTATGTGGTACCCTATGGCTGACCTACAGGGTTTAGCATGGATGTCTAACATTGTTGGGTCCAGGAACTTGAGAGCTCTGCCATGTTCACTCCACAGAAAACTCGGCAGTTAGAAAGCGGATGGAAAAGGATGGGTGGCAGTTAGCTAATGGCACGGTGAGGTGCAGATGCCCCATTAAGTGTCCCAACCCTTTGCCAGGGCCTCTGAGCCCAGGGAAATGCTGGAACTCTGGAACCCAAGCTCCAGTGGGTCCCCGGTCACCCAAGCCTCCCCTAAAGTGGGGCACCATGCCGCTCAAACATATCCGGGGAACTGGACCAACCACCAGTTTCTCAAGCCAGTCCCTCCTTTCCCATCTCAGGCCAACTCCTGGGAGAACGCGTGGGGATTGGCACGCTTTGTCCTGAAGGCTGGGCAGTGGTGAAAGTAGAGTCTGCACTTTCTCCAGATTGTGCGAGATCTCTCCTGGTCTGGATCCACCAGGGAGATGCTGAGGAGCCTGGGGAGTTACTTTCTCTAGGCTAGGCAGCATTCATTCCACTGAGCCCCTAAATAGCCTTCCAGATTCGGGGGAATCTGTGGTGACCCCAGGAGACAGTCCATCATCCATCAGTTTCTTCCATAACTGATTCCTGTTTCTCTGAAGGAAGCCCTTTTAGGCCAGGCTTTAGTAAACTTTGGCGTAGTGCTGATAGCTAGCTGCCTGCCTGGCGGAAGTTAGGTAACCCGTGCCTAACCCATTCAGTCTCCACACCATCCGTGAATTCTCCATACCCGAGAATGCAGGACCTTCAACAGCTCGGGGGTCAGCTCAGCCCAGTTGGACAAAGTGACTTGCTCAGACCTCTCTCTCACTGGGGGCATCTCTCCACGGGACATGGCCCCAAAATACCTGCAGAGAAAAGGGAGTAGAGGAAGGCTCGCAGGCTCCAGTGACCACTCGATACTTTATTTACTTTTCTTTCCTTTTCCTTTCGGAGAAAGTGAGTAGTTAAGAAGCAGTATTTTACCATCTTTAGTTCGTTTGCATACGGACAAAGTCTGATTGTGTTATTTCCACTTTAAGGGACGAAGAATGCTTAGGGAATGAAAGGGTTTTCTTTTCTCTAAGAATAATGGGGAACAATCAAGAAAACGTTGGCAAGCCATCACCCAAAGCATGTTCAGTCACCCCGCCCATCCCTTCTTAGTATTTTATTCGCAGGCATAGACAAACGGAGATCCTAGGACATTTATAGGATATCTGTATGTGTGTGTTTGGCAGGTGGGGGGAAGGTGCTTCTATGAAAGTAGGAGCAGATAGAATATTCCGGGGGTGAGTGAGGCCGGCATGGGATCTCAGTGAAGGGGAGAAAGGCAGTAAGGAAGTCAAGGAGGGGATAAAACAACCTGATACGGTGCGTACAAGGCACCCCTTCTTTCTTCCCTCAGAACTTAGTTAAATATGGCTGCCGTGTGTCGCAGCTTTGTGGGATGGACTTAATTTGGGGGTGATGTGGAAGATAGGTCAGGTCCTATTTCAAGACTGGCACGATAGGAAATCAGCCTCCTGCCACAGGGAGAGGACATGAGCAACAAGATGCCAACGTCTGTCCCCATCAAAACCTCCGCCCCTTCCTGCCCTCACTCCATTCCTTTCTTCAGGAGCAGGTAGCATAAAATACAGAGCGTGTTTTATAAAAAGGCCTCTGTAGGGTCAGTATACATGACGGAGCTAACTATTGCCCATCTCTGAGACACAGACCAGCAGGACCACAGAGACGTGGATCCAAACAGTAACTTCTAGTCCCTGGCTGGAGGTCCTCAGCTGTAGAAATACTTTGACGCTTTTGAGCCTTTACCTGGGAACTCTCTGGAGGCAGACCAGTGTTTGGGTGGGGGCAGATACAATGAGACACCCAGAATGGGATTGTGGCCTCTGAGACTTTACAACCAGATGAGGAGATGAAATGGCAGGAATAGTAATACCATGGCACCATTATACAGATGTACCTGGGTGGAGTTACTCTTGGCACTCTCGGAGGAACAGTATTTGAGTTGTGTTATTGGTTAGAAATCAGCGGAAACGAAGCCGAATCCATGGACTCCCTCTAAATCTCTGAGCTCCATTTGCAAATGAATGATGCCACAGCTATGGTTGGAGAGATTTAGGCTCTCACACTGCCTGCTGCCGGACAAACTGGCATCTGCCCTGCTGATGCCCCGAGAATTGGCTTCTACATTGTTGAGGCACAGGGGAGGAAATTCCTGCGTGTGATGAACTAAATACTTATTTTATCCTGGAGATACCTGATGGCGTTCCATGTGCTGGAACCCTACAAGTTTGGGAGCCACAGAATATGAGTGGTTGAGAGCTTTTGATGTCTAAATGGGATGCAGAATGTTCTTAGACCATGCTCTTTTTGACTGCAGTTGAAGTACAGACTGATCTTGCACGGATGTCTTTAAAAAATGTGTATCTATCACACCACACAGTATGGAGCAAGCAGGCTACAGCGGCAGAAAGTTATTCTTCATAAATGTCAGGGACAATATCAAGAAATGTCATTTTTCTTCCGATAACCGAGGAGCACAAGAACAATAAAATGGAGTTTTAAGCAATCATATGGCATAATACAAAATCTGTCTATGCCAAAAGAAATTAGTCTTCTGACATTAAAGTGTAATCTTAGAGGTAATACATACAGTTCAAAATAGAAAACGACACAGGAGTCATGACTAAGCAAAGCAACTCCCTTTAGGCCGTTTAAAAGCACCAGGGCTTTACTTTCTTAAAGGCTTCCTCCTGGCTCAACCTGGGAGCGGGGGAGTTTATGCCTCCTGAAAGGGCTCCACAGCTTGTCTCCACCACCTGCTGGATGCACCCCCTCACACCCCAGGTTCTCTTTCCCCAAGCCCTTTCCCTCCACAGACCGAGGTATCTTCCCGCAGAGGCACCGCTAAGGAAGTAACCCGCCAGCGAGAGAAACAGCTAGAAAAGGACCTGGGAGTGTCTTGTTAGCTCCCAGATCAGGCACCGAGGCTGCCCAGTTTCCAGTAGGCACGTGTAAAACGCAGTTTCATAGTTGAGAAGCTTTCTATGTGAAGCGGCCACGGTGAGGTCAGCCCGCTGTGTAAGTTCACCCACGGAGCAGCCTCCAGGGGCCCTTCGAGGGGCAAGGTGCTAGAGGCACACCGTGGAGCCCAGCTTGACCTCGTCACCCAGTTCTGCCTCCTTTTCCAGAAAGTCATGTGACCACGGACATCTTCATGCAGAGGGGATGGATCAATTTTAGTTTTTTTTTTTTTTTTTAATCAGTAACAGACCCCCTCTCTCTGGCCCCCCCAGACGGGATGCAAAGCGTCTTTATTCTGGCACAGGTTTGAGTTTCCACAGCCATGAAGGAAGGTGTTTCATTAATCAGAGGGAACCAGCTTGGAGAGAGACCACCTCCTCCTCCTCCTCCCTGCGGGATCGCGCACCGCCCCACTAGGTGTACTGCTGCCATCTAGCGGTGAGAAGAGCATAAATTGAGGCGTAAACCAAGGAAAGGTGAGCTGAGCTGCAAGCCAGATTCCCAGGCCCCTTCCAACCAGGACAAGCTGATGGGAGGCAGGGATGGCCTAGGTGGTCGTGTGCTAAGCGTGACGTGGTAAACTAACTGGTAATTTTTACCCCAGGACACTTGGCCTACTTCCTCTTATGCTATGAGCTTAGGGAAGGGCATCCCATGCTCTCTCTGTTTGATGCATTTATTTTTAAAACTCAGCTTCTCCTTAACAGCCTGATTGCCTGACTGAGGGCTTGCCAACCTCTTCAGCTTCCCACAAACCCTCTTTCCTCACCCTTGCCCTCTTCTGGTAGGAACAACTTACTCGGCCGCCCACTGGATGAGATCCTGAGGCTGCGTTCGAATGGCAGCTTTGGTGAACTGCTTCAGCAGTTCCGGCAGCTCCGGTGGGATGCATACTTGCTTGTCTGTCTGAGGCATTGATCGCTTCACCTAGGCACACGACAAAACAGAACATGGGGATTGTATTTGAGTCATCAGCAATCACAAACTGTAAAAGGCGAAGGATTTATACGATCTGAAGAGAAACCAGAGTATAGCAATCATGAACTGTAAGAAAGCGGTCTGGAATAAGAGGTCCCACAGATCTGATATAATACTTGGATAATAGGCTAGCCCACAAGATATATGCAGTCTAGAAAGGAGAGTACTGATCTTTACATTGTGCTATATGCTTGCTTTTTTTTTTTTTTTTGAGACAGGGTTTCTCTGTGTTACAGCTCTAGCTGTCCTGGAACTAGCTTTTGTAGACCAGGCTGGCCTTGAACTCACAGAGATCTGCTGCCTCTGCCTCCTGAGTGCTGGGATTAAAGGCGTGCACCACCACTGCCTGGCTACATTGCGCTGTAAATAATTATGTCCTTTACATGAAAAAACACAAGTACTTAAAAAATAGAAGCCAGCAGAAGTAAACAGAAACATTCCTTAATATGTCATCCCCAAATCTACATACGTATAGTGTGTGTGCGTGTGTGTGTGTGTATAAATAAAAGACAGGGTTACACAAAGCAGCTTATGTAGCACCGAATCATGAACCCCTTTCTGTGTTCCCTCAACACTTGCCTGGATGAGAGAACTGTAGCAAAACTGGCTCCATGAGTCCTATTCTATGATTTGACACTAGGTCTTTTCCAAATCAAGGCCATTATCAAACAGTCAGTTGATGAACCACACTCTTTATATTTGTGTTTTCTTGTCTACTCTAACATTTTCATGTTATATCAACATGAGAATCTACAGATGGAATACACTCTTCTATACAAACAAAGGATTCAAAGTCTCTGAAGGAGGCAGACTCAAAAGAATAAACTGTCTCAGCTTCAAAACACCGAGATGGCGGACAGATCTCAGTAAGCACCTTGTGTACAGCCTTGCTGAGCTTGCAGTAAAGAGAGAGAAATCTTCAGCTGCCAAATCAAGAACGTGACAGAGAGCCCAGAATGGGGAACACATGAAGAATCTGAGCTGACCTGGAGGCAAATGTGGCTGGAAAGAACTTGAATGTAGGCTATAAAAGGTAGTACAAGGAGGGGAGAGACCAGGGATTGGCTCACCGACAAGAAGTGACTGAACTAAAGGACCCTCTCCCTTTCTGGCCCGCACTTGAGACCCCACAGGAACATCATCTTTGTTGTGGGTACAAAGGATAACATCTTTAGTGTAAGAACACAGACCTACAACGTGTGTAGGGTCACACACTGAGAGCTGGCTCCATAGATTTTTGTGGGGAGAGAAAACAGCCCCAAGAGTGTGACATCACACGAAAGAGCTAAGTTTAGATTGATACCAACAATGCCTACTTGGGAAACCCCAAGACCATAGATAGCTGTGGTCTTAGATTGGTGGCGTTTCACTACTTTTGTTTTGTTTTGTTTTGAAGACAGGGTTTCTCTGTAACTTTGGAGTCTCTCCCTGGAACTTGCTCTGCAGACAAGCTGGCTTCGAACTCACAGAGATCCGCCTGCCTTTGCCTCCTGAGTGCTGGGATTAAAGGTGTGTGTCACCACCACCTGGCCATGCCACTACTTTTTAGTTATTCATTTATTTGGAAGATGAGGATAAAGATGTTTAATTTTAGACTTCATAAAATGTCAACTATGTGTACATTTTACTAATACTTCTCACAAGCTAATATAGAAGAAAGATTATAAATGTCATAAAAGTAACCACTAGGTATGTAAAAAGGAGAAACAGAATTTAAGTACACCCAATGATCCTTCACATAAAACAAACAAACAAACCCCCCCAAACTCAAAACATCTTGATCAATTCAAAACAAGACAGAAACAGAATTTAAGTACACCCAATGATCCTTCACACAAAACAAACAAACAAAACCCCCCAAAATCAAAACATCTCAATCAATTCAAAATAAGACAAAAAATGAGGTGGGGAGGAAACATGGACTAATAAGACAGTTGAGAAGAATCCACGCTGATCTCTAACCACAATAAAAGGAAGTAGCCTTAAGTGGGCCAGTGAAAGACAGAAATCTGATGTAAACTCTAGGGACAGTCAAAGCTGAGAAAGCCTGCAAAGACAGAACCATGGAAGGTGAAAAGGCACAAACCACCAACCAACCAGATTGAGATGCTGGTTTAGATGTCACTGTGGCTAAGAGAGACTTCAAGGCAAACCATTTTAGAAGAAAGATTTCCTGTCAGGATAAAGTCTTTGGATATTGCCTTCACAGGACCATTCTGAATATGGAGATACATCACCATGGGGACTCTCACGGTGCCCAGGGGAAAGCAGGGCATTGTTTGGGATCCTCTAAATTTTATAAATATATTAATAATGATTAAGGGTGATAAGTATAGTTCAGTATTGGCAGTACACCACCATAGGGGAGTCTCACAGTGCTCAGGGGAAAGTAGAGTGTTCATTGCTTGGGATCCTCTCAGTATTGTAATAATGACTAGGGGTGAGAAATGCCAATTCAGAATTGGTAGTTTCCCTGGTTGGAGTGGGAGACGATGTCGTCAGGGGTTTCTATTGCTGGGAAGAGGCACCATGACCATGGTAACTCTTACAAAGGAAGACATTTCATGGAGGTGGTGGCTTACAGTTTCAGAGGTTCAGGTCCATTATCATCATGGCGAGGAACATGGGGGCATACAGGCAGACATGGTGCTGGCTGCATCTTGATGGAACGGCAACAGGAAGTAGACTGTGCCATTGGGCAGTATCTTGAGCAAAGGAGACCTCAACACCTACCCTCAAAGTGATACACTCCCTCCAACAAGACCATCCACACTTACTCCAACAAAGTCACATCTCCTAATAGAGCCACTCTGGATGAGGTCATGGGGGGGGGAGGCAATTACATACCTATATTTATATTACACACTTTAGCATTTTTTATGTATAAGCTATGTTTTCCAAAGCTACTGTTGCAAGTTGTTTTGTCTTGCTTTGAGTCAAGGTCTCACGTAGCTCAGGCTGGCCCTGGACACACTTTGTAGTGAGAATGCCTTTAAACACATGATCATCCTGTTTCCACCTCCAATTGCTGCGTTTACAGATATCAGCCACCAAGCGCAGCCTTGTAGATCAGTTGGAATGACTTTTCAACCTATTTTATTTAACAAACAACAGTGCCTTAGATTGCTTATGTATGTGTGCTTGAATTTATTCTGATAAAATATGTAGCATGAGATTTACCATTTTATTTGTTTTCAGCGTACAGCTCGGTGGCATTACATATTCCACATTTCTGTATAGTTAGCACTCTCCCTTTTCCAGAGCTATGTTATGATCTCCGCTGGAAACTCTAGGATTGGACAGAAAGGCTCAGTCCTCCTTTGTCTCTGCCAATAACAACAGCTCTGCCTTCTCATCCTGTGAATTTGACCTCCTTTAGGAGCCTTATGTACAGGGGCCATACACATTTGTCCTTCTGGATCTGGTAGATTTTGTTTAGTATAATAATGTCTTTCTGCTTCATGCATGGTGTAGCATGTGCCAAAATCTCTGTCCTTTTTAGGCGTGCACAACGTTCCATAAACACACAGCCCTTTTTGGTTGTTTTGCCTATGCATTTATCTGTCAATGGGCATTTATAATATGCTGATGGCATCTTTCGGCTATTTTAATAATCCTGCTTTGAACATGAGTGAACACATATCTAGCTTTTCCCGGCTTTCGTTGTTTTGGGTGTATAACCAGAGGTAGAATTGCTGGGCCACATGGTGAGTTCAACCAAAGTTTTTGAGGAGCCAAGAGGCTGTTTTCCACAGTGAATGCACCATTTACTGTCTTAAAATATTTTAACAGGATCTTAAGAAAAAAGGTGTGTGGGGACATGTGGGGGCATGGACAGGGTCTCATGCACGCTAGCAAGCACTGCCCTACTGAGCTATATTCGCAGATCACCAAACTGAACACAGCACTCCTCATCTTCTGTCCTGGGGCCTCAAAGCCCTGCAGTCAGGTGCTCTCTAGGTCCTTTGAATCTCACTAAAACCCACTGATAGTTCCTTTGATGTGTGCCTCCTGCTCATCCCTCTCTATCTCCGCCCCTCTGTCCCTGACCCCGCCCTTCCTCACTCACTGAATCCTCATTTCAGGTCATCCTCTGGTCCATCCTACCCAGGTCACATCCATCTTCCTGACTGCTTTTTGTAGACCAGAAAGCCCTGCTTACAAAACAGCGATCAGACCCAGACCGTCAAGGTTCTCCATGATCTGTGCATATTCTAAACTCCCTATTTCCTGCCGCTATTGCTAACACTGTTTGCTGCGCCCACTGCCTAAGGGATTACACTTGCAGAGTGTAACACCTTTTCCCTTGGGAAGTTACTCCTTTTCCCTTGGGAAGTTACTGCTGCTCCAGTGGTCTCCTTTTCTTCTATTCAAACCCTACTCAACCCCAGCATTCACCTTGAGATCATCCTGAGCTTTCCTAGAGAACCTGGGTAGCAGCAAGTATTGTTGACATTTTGTATCCAAGCCTGCCCTGTCTCCAGAGCTCCTTGCAGTGGCTATCGAGAATGGAGAGCAGGTGTGCAGCGTGCGTGTGTGTGTGTGTGTGTGTGTGTGTGTGTGTGTGTGTGTGTGTGTGAGAGAGAGAGAGAGAGAGAGAGAGAGAGAGAGAGAGAGAGAGAGAGAGAGAGAGCAGTAAACAGTTTACAGTGATGCGAACTTTACAGCCATTTACAAGCAGACAGTAGTTGAAATTATATTCGGATGCTGTTTGGCACAGTCAGTAAACTTCCAGATTTCAGTATCTTTTTTTTTTTTTTTTGTGCTTAACCTTTTATGCATAACACCTGCCACCAGGCACACATAAAGGGCTTTCCTCGTTAAACATGACAATAAAACATCCCTGTAAATCTGATTTTTCTCCTTAACTGTGATGTATTTGTTATCAGTGTCAATCTTTGTGTATCCGTGTTTCAAAGATTTTTGTACGTTTGTTC